GTCTTCAAATCTTGGAAACCAAGTCCAGTGGATATTTTTTGAACTTTTACGGAATTATCGCATGACTGTAAAGTCCATGTTTGTCCGCCTCCAGTAAAGCACATTTAAATGAAACTTCCTCTTAATTAAAAACATTTATCATTTATTGAAAAGTGTGTAATAATTTCATATTTAAAGTACTTTTAGAATTCTGAATATGACTTTTCCTCTTAGCTGGAGTCGCACATTAATCTAATCACACAGGCAGCTGGGCGTGTCACAGAATAAAGATAAAACACATTTAAGGTGGAGCTTTACAGCAAATTTCATTAGATTCATGGCAGCTGGGACGGTATGAATTGTGAAATTGGTTGAATACTTTCTAACTCCTACAGCAGATGAAAGAGAAGCAGCTCTATGACGGAGCAGTTCTGGTTCCTGTGCGTCTCTCACCTGGTGCCCACTCCAGCACTGAGAACACTTCTCCCTTGGCGCTGGTGAACGTCACTCCAGGCTTCCCTCCGCTCTGCTGGCACAGCACCGGTGTGTCACTCAGACGCTCACTGGGCCACTCCTGCCCCCCCACTGGTGTCTGTGGCTCCTGCTGGGGCTTTTCTTCTCCACTTCTCTCAGCCTGAGAAGCAACAGAAGCTTAAACACCTCCAACCAACAGATGACATCATGACGGGCGTCAGCGACCACGCTGCCAACGCTCACCTCGCTTCCCGCGCCTCCGCTGCCCACGGCCTCCATCTTCTCCTCCTCCACAATAGCCACGTCCTCCAGCGTCCTCCTCAGGTTTTCATGCAGCTTTTTGATGTCGTCCAGGAAGCGTTTTTCCTTGGTGGGTTTTTCGGGAGCCGCTGGCGTCACCGAGCTATCTACGTTGGCGGCGGAGGCCGGCTCAGCCGCCGTCGGGGATGTCGGCAAGCCGCCCGTCCACAGCTGCTCCACAGTCATGTTCTTTAAGCTCTCCAGGATCTTCAGCGCCTCTTTAAGCTCCCTGAAGCCTCGAGGGGCGCCGTCCTTGCTGGGCTTCTCTGCTCCGTTCACCGTTCCTCCTGGAGCGGAGCCTGCAGGCAGAGAGAAGAAGATTTAGGCCGTCTGCTTTTCCACATGTTGGAATTAATCTGGTGATTCTTTTATTATCTTAAACTGAACTTATAAAGAGCAGCACATGTTCTGGAGCCACTTTATGAAGCTAAAATTACTTCTTACTGTTTATACCCACAAGCAGAGCTTTATATCCTACAGATGTTGGTAACTTTAAGCTAAT